GCTGATCAACAACGATACTCAGCCATCGGTCGACGAAATGAGAAAAGCTGCCGCCAACAGAGAGAATTGGTCTAAGATTATTGTCGCCTGCAAACCCAGACTGTTCGCAGCCGAATGATGATGATGATGTTTCCTGCAAGAAGAGTAGACGAAGTAAACACTCATTGGTTTGACCTCTTTTTTGACATCGTTTTCTCGAAATTTCTTTTAATCGTAAAAGCGTTCGTTATCCATGTGTGAACGACTCAAACAAATACTGAAATTTTGCATGAAATCACTTCTAACAAAAGTTTTATCATAATATCGGACTTAACGACAGTTAGACGTTCGGGAAGAGAATCTAAAAGAACCCATTGAGAATAGTTTTTAAAACAAAAACTTTTAGACATCTATACACTTATGATGTTATGTCTGTATGACTATCAGCAGCGAGCTAGAGACTGAAGGGATCATTATACTCTAACTCATTACGTAATCCCGTCCCCATCCATACCATTTTCTGTTCTCATCTACTATTATCTGCACTAATACCTCCTTAGGTGATTCAACAAGGTCCCGAAAGGGTCGTAAAATCGATTTATGATGCTGTAATCCTATGCTTTGTAATACTTCGGCCATAAACGAGCGTATACCGATCTATTTTTCGATTAAAGCATTTCAATTTAGAGATTCAGTCTGAGTACTCAAATGTTATGAAATGTTAGTTAGCCAATAATACAAGGGGGAAACGCCGTACTCCGCTACCTCCATCACCCCGAAGAGTTTAACCGGAGTAGACAGAATGATGGAGTAATCCTGAGTGACGGTGGAGTGAATGAAGTTTGATGTTTTCGATTGATGTGCTTTGCTTTCCCAAATTCTGTTTTTATTTGTAGCATTGTTTAGCTCCCAATGTTCTTATAGTTCCTAATGTTCTCATAGTTCCCAATGCGAATTAAATTAGCATTTGTAAATTTTTGGGTGAAAAAACGAAAGTGAGATTTTTTTAAATTTGAATCAAACATACTACGATTAATGGCCTATTAGATGACATAAAAATTATTAACCTGGTTTTCAGATTCAATCGGAAAAGACAGCATGAAAATGAGGTTGAAAACGGGGTGTGAACCGAAGCATAAACTTTTTTCGGGCATGTGCAAAGTCTTCTCAAACAAATTATACATATTCTGAAACTAGACTATCGTTATAGTCGAATCGGAAAAAATTTTTTTTTCGCTTTTGGGCAACGAAAAAAAATTTTCTATCTGCGCTAAGTCTTTTCTGCAAAGATATGTTCAGTATAATAAGCGCCCAAACTTTAATCGAAAATCCACAATCGATGAAACTTTCACAGAATATCCTTCTACTTGTGATACACCTCCAAAGATAGCAAAAAGAGACCAAAATAGTCCTGGCATGAGTTACAGGCATCCCAAACAGACGCGGTTTTTAAGGTGAAATCCATTTTTTTGATAAATCATATTCTTCATTTTTGAAAGCGAAGGAAACAATATTCTGGAAAACTGATTTTGCCATTCGACAGAGCTCATCGAGTTCTATCTGGTACCATTTTCATGATGCTGCGCCAATTCCGAGCTTTTCATATACAGCGGGCAACCATGTAGGTGGAAAAACGAAAGTGAGATTTTTTTAGATTTGAATAGCGATGTCAAATATACTACAATTAATGGCCTATTAGATGGTATAAAAATGATTGACCTGATTTTCATATTTCCCGACTTTTTAACATCCGGGTCGAAATAAAATTCAATTCAATTTAATATTAGCTGGTATACATAAATAAGTTGTCGAGGCTAAAAGCGAACATTTGTGTGGTACGACGGAGGTTGTTGAAATCAAAGACGTTGCTTGCTATTCCTACATTGAACGTTGCAGTATATAAAGTTTTGCAGAATAAACTTTATAGGCGATCAACATGACTTATGTTGATTGCCTATCCTTTTAAACAGTGGGTTTGAATAGAAACCTTCTGTAGTGTCGTAGTGGTATTCAATGCAGCTTCTGATGCTTTAAGCACGTAATTTAGACAATTTGTTTATAACATTGTTAATATTCATCATTATTTGTTGTTTCGAATCATCACGCGTTTTGTTTACTGAGGTAAAGTATTTATTTTGATAATGATGGCGAGGCAAAGAAAAGAAAACTTGAAGATTTCATTAGATGATGCCGATTCAACTTCTATGATCATTTTATTTAAATAAAAATAATAGATATATAGTTAGAAAATTGATATTATTGTACTGAGTTACAGAGCGCATCGGTTTTTGTTAACACATTTAATTTTCTTTCAATTATTATTCATCTACTAATTCAGTAGTATAGCTTCAATCGGTTGATGTTTTTCAAAAACTCAACCGAGCCGAAATGGAAATAGATCAGAACTGGCATCCAACATCGGCTTAAGAAAGTGCAGTGAAAAGCAAAAGCGACTTGACCTGCTATACAAAGTACTTATCAATAGAAAAATCAAGCATTTTAAAATGACCCAAGTGCCGGCTTCATTATGCAAGCGAAGTATTTTTCCTTAGTACTTGGATGCAAGTATATTCATTAGAGCACCTATTAGTATTGCTGCTGTTTCTAAACATTTTTTGGACTGTCCTAAACTATTACCGACGTCTTATATTTCTGAAAAAAATCAATTAGATTCTTTTCAAGAGTCTGACACTTGTGCTCCACTTATCTTTTCGTGCTTTAGTTGACGTAATCAACACTCAACTCAGAATAAAGATGTTTATTCATCAGCCGTTTTCTCTGAAAAACAACACATTATTCTGTTATTACCAAATCTTTCATTAAAACATGGTGTAATGCAATGCGTCCCAAAGAACAGTATGGTGGTGATTTTCAATTTTATAAGCCTCACCTCCACTCACTCATTTTGTTTCTGATCCTGATTTCATACGAAGCTCGATATTTGTTTCAGCATGAATATTTGTTGATTCAATTGTTTCCGAATTATCAAGTGGAATATCGTTCAAAGTCAAGTAAAATTCCGTTGAATTCAATTCATATTCGTTACAAATCTGATTTATAAGATCATGAATTGTTGCTTTCAAATCGACAAAAACGACAGACATTTTTTCCAGTTGACGAATATAAACAATGAGTGGTGGTATATGATCTGTAATAAAAAAATGTGAGTAACTAATTTAAAGAATATAGAATATTTCTAAACTTCTACATGCCTGAACTAGATGATAAATCTTGAGTAAATGCCGTAACTTCGTCGATATCCGCTAAATAAGATACAAAAAATGATATTTTTGACTAACCTATGGATGACATGTCACATACCGGGAATGTCTTGTCTATGCATAAAATAGTCGTTAGTGATAAGTGTAGCGTTACAATAAAAATGTATAGTGGGAGGAAGAGGTATTTTAGTAAGATCGCGTTGAATATCATAATCCACCAAAAAAAATCTTCTTGGTTTTGTTTCGTCTGGTTCTTCCATTAATTCTAAGAAATACTGATATTGTTCTTTGCTGACCGGACAGTCTTTTAGTAGTTGTTCTATACTAACATACAACGTATAAATATCGTCGCCACGATATTCATGTAGTATATCCTCAAGAAAGTTTTTGCTTGCTAATGATTGAATTCCTTTCTCTTCAATATTTCGTAACAAATGGAGTCTTTTCAACACTGTTTTGTTTTCATTAATAAACAATTCCAGTCCTGAGAATGAACAAACACCTCTTTCATACCGTCTAAGAATTCTCTCAATTTGAATTTCGTTTATTAAACTATTTCGTACTTTTTCACAAGTATCTCTCATTTCTGTTTGAAATTTTATCAAGCCACTTGTTATATCATCGATTCTCTTACTGATTGAATCAAAATCATACGCTGGGAAATGATCGATCATATGCTGTATACTTAAAAGTTCTTGTTCAACTAATAAATGTTCATCAAATAGACGTTGTATTTCTAATTGACATTGACAACTAATCTCTCCTGTAGAATCTTTTATCGTTAATTTGTTTTTAATGTCTGATTTAGAATTGATTAATATGGCTAGTTCTTTCAACGGGAAGAGTCTATAAGCGATTGGTTTTGCTTTTTCCTCATCGATATATTGAGGACACTGAGAAATAATTTTAAACAGACGAATAGTGTCACTAACTGTCCGTGGAAGTTGATCTTTTGGTAGCACAATGCCAATATTCCCATAATAAGTAATAGAAAACAAATCTTCATGAATAATTTTTGCCTCAAAGTTATCTAATTTCCTTAGGAGAGACGTTTTTAAATTTTCTTCAATTTCTTCTTGATTTTCTTGTTTATTTAATTTTCTTTCAAATACAGCCAGAATATTAGCACCCCATTGAATTTCAGTTACAACATGAGTAGCCTCGGGATTATCAAATGCATTTGTTGATATGTACTCAACTAATGTTCGTGGTGTAATATTAAGACGTTCATACTTTAGCTCTGTTCGACAAATTATTGTGGCTTTTACTGTTCGATTGTCTTCTTTTACATTTGTTAAATAAGTTTCAAATTCTTTAGTGGCATTTGACCATCCACAAAGAATACTCAAAATTAGAGGTGCTTCAATATTTAAATTGCATAATTTTCTGACGTAAGTATCATTACAATCAATATTGAATCGTGTTTGTGATTTATTAATCGTAGAAACATGTCGTCTCAATGATAAATCAAAAAATATTTGTTCATTACCACAAAATTGATCTTTTCTAATATTGTACAATGAACCTAATTTTGCTTCGTAGCCAAGTGATTGACGAGTAACCTTTTTACTAGTCGATATTTCTAACAGTGTAGGACCTTGAAAAGAGATTATTATTGAAAAGAATAGTTTCTAGCTAAAATGTGTACTTGTCGAAAAAGTGTGTGCAGTAAGTGATTCTAAAACATAAAACCTATAACTAAATAACAATGTAGTTAAAATAGAATAACTTTCACATACGATTTGAGTTTGATCGTTGTGAGGCATTGATCATTGCTATAGACAAATATATAGTGAAAATACGTAATGTCAAGAAGATGACGTAATATAGAATGAATACTTACGATTCATATTATTATTATAAAATGGACTATTTGTTTCTTAAAAGAAAAACGTATATAGCATACAAATACAGCTTTACTAACGGGTTTAACAGAAATAAACGCACTTTTTTTTTTTCACTATAACTTCGTCGGGGTTCGTCCAATCGACTTAAATTTATTTTTATTAAATTCGTCTTGGAAATCTCTACAAAAATATCTGATAACTAGTTTTCTAACAAGAAAATTGTCAGAGTTATGGAACCAAAAATACGACGACTAAAAACACCAACTTCATAAGGCAAAAAATGCTTTTTTTTAAATATCATCGTAACAGTCTAAGATAGGAGAAATTCGAGACGACCATTCGAAAGAGCACAAAATTC